TTGCAATTTTAAGGAGACACTTTGTTGTAATAATCAGGAAGAATGCTATGGAATAGCACGGTAAGAATAAAAATGTGTTGTGATGTTACTGAGAGGTTAATTATGTTTGTGAGGAGAAGCCAAAGGGAACACCAAATCTTAAGGCAGGTGACTCTTCGGAGCAAAGGGTAGTGACTCAAGGAGGTGGGGTCTGGGAACACTCTGGCTGGTGCGACACATCTTGCCTCTTTGCAAATCACGTGGTCACCTTGGTGTCACCTCTCTGTCATGCATTCATTGAACTAGAGGACTGAAATGAGTGTTGCCACTGCACAGAGAAATGAACCACAGCCAGGGTGTGGAGTGGCCAGGTCCATGACATCTCCTGCTGATCTCTCCAAGACACCCTACCTAGTGGCCCCGACTCCATTGTTGTATGCAAAGGCAGACTGGATGGAAGAACGGCTTGGCCCACAAATTTTACACCAATACTGCAAGATCATCAATGTCAGCCACTTATAACAACTAGAATAGTGACCATAATGAAGGCATACATTATGAAAGCCACTACAATATTCCAGGCACTGTGCTACGTGTTTTATGTGTATTATTCACTTAATTTCCCAAAATGTGTATGATTATACTTATTTTACAGACAAGAAAGCACAAAGAGGCTCTAAGTAATTTTCCCAGGTCACAAAGCTTGCAATGGCAGAGGCATGGTTTCCAAAGTTTGTTCTGCATTAGAATCACCTAGAAATTAAAAACCATAATTGATTCCCGGCTCTCTCCACACTTTGATTTAATTGGTATGTGGTGGTATGTGGTGCCTTAGGGTTTATAAAAACTGCTCAGGTGATTTGAATGTGTGGTAAAGTTAAATGGGGATTTGTTTTTCAATGGATATAAAGTCTTATGTAAGTATACAGGCAGTCTGGCTCCAGAGCCCAGGGCCTTAATCCCTAAATGTACCAACTTCTCTTACATTTCAGGTCTTGGAACTCCTTTACACTCTTAAAATTTACTGGACTCATTACACATTAATACAAATAACATTTCATTACAATAACTATGTTTTCAAAAAAAAATTAGTGTAGAGAAGGGTCTATATTTTTCAAATCTCCATTTAAGGTTATTTAACAATCTTTTATTTTTATTGAGTTAGTTTATATACAAAAAATTGCATACATCTAATGGATGCCTATGCCCCTGACACCATTACCATCACCAAGGTACTACACACATCCATCACCTCCCCAAATTTCCTTGTGTTTTATTTGTGTTTTGTTTTTCTTCCTTGGTAAAAATAGTTAACGTGGGGGCTATCCTCTTAACATACTTTGAAGTGCACAAGACCCTATTATTAACATAAGTATTCTGTTACATAGCAGATCTCTAGAACTTACTGATCTTACATAAGACTTTATATCCATTGAAAAACAAATCCCCATTTAACTTTACCACACATTCAAATCACCTGAGCAGTTTTTATAAACCCTAAGGCACCACATACCACCACATACCAATTAAATCAAAGTGTGGAGAGAGCCGGGAATCAATTATGGTTTTTAATTTCTAGGTGATTCTAATGCAGAACAAACTTTGGAAACCACTGCTTCTCTCTGCCTTAATGGATGACAGCTGGGTTCTCTTAACTCCTTCTGCACTCAATCTGATGTGGTAGCTGATGCTCTCTAACCTATGGAGAATACCACTATAAAATTGTGGAGAGGGGAAATAAGATGACCTTATTTCCCCATAATAGTATTATTATGAAAATCGTTTTGAGGTCACAGACCCACTACAAGGGTCTCAAGGACTCCAGAAAACTCCCAGACCACGATTTGAGAAGAGCCGCCTTCTGTTACATTGCCTAATACAGACTGAATACCTGTTAAGCACTAGAAATCTTCCCTCCGGTGTCTTTATTGTCGTGACAGCCTTCTGAGACAGATTTCACTAACCTATGTCACAAACAAGAAAACTAAAGTTCAAATGGTTAACTTTCCTGGGCCCACAAAAGGGAGTATGATTTAGAATGAGGTTTTTAATCAGGATCCCTAATGCCCAGTCCCACAATATTATGCTTTTGGCATAGCAAAAAATTAGCACACTCAAAGAAATAACTATCAGGCTTTCGTTTCTGCTATGAGCTGTAAGGAGAAAGGCCTATGGGTGCATAGGTGATGGCAGGAGACAGGGGAGTGAGGTTCTGGTGAAAAATATTTTATTTAAAAATATTTATGTCCAGTGGAGTGAGGTGCAGATGTGTAGGGTCTAAAATATATTTAAGGGTAAGGGGCCCCATCACCTAGTGGTAAGGGCTCTCAAGTCAGATCCAGTCTAAATGTCAGTTTTACAATTTAAAGCTGAGTGACTTGAACATATTATTTAACCTTGGGAGATTTAAATTCCTAGACTAAAACACAACAATGCGTACCCACTGGGTTTACTGCAAGCCCTACATGAAACACGTAAACTGATTTTCTCAGTGCCTGGAACTTAAAAATCACTTAGTAAATGGTAGGTTTATCATTGAGGTTTTCTTTCCTTCCTAACCACATTTTATCACTTACTATATATGACTTTGGACAAGTTTCCTCCATTCCCTGAGCTTTAGTTTCCACAATTATAAAATGGAATCAATATTATAGATATTATATGGACAGTGCTTGGCATATAAGGTATTCAACTATTACTTTCCTGTTAAAAATATAAAATTGTCCCTCAGAGCAGAAGGAAGACTTCATAAACTATAAAGCTCCTACATGATCAGATTTACACTTTCCTTGGTATCGGTTATTTTTAAGTACAACATTGGGATTTTTCAACTTGTAACCAAGTTCTATCTGCAATAAGATCTTTGGTTTCGACTCTGAGGGACCCTGCATCTCCCTTACCAATGAATGCTCTGAAACCAAAAGCCTGCACCACCAGATCCTGGGGGCCAGTGCCTTCCTGAGCACTTGGGAGCACAGCATATTACTTCCCAATTCAGGGTAGTGTTGTGATAATCCTATGAATGGGAGAAAGAGCCAAAGCAGAGCCGTTATCTCCCACAGCACTGCAGGGGACGCAGCAATCAGAAACACTGGCCTGCTCTCAAGGGACACACAGACCAACCGCTGAGTAAGTCAAGGACACTAATAATTATGATGCAGAATGTAGTTTTCATAAGACAGGCAAAATGCTTCAAGGATTGAAAAAAAAAGCAGTGTTAAGAGGTGAAGGGAATGAGAGGAATAAAAATTCCTATCAGGCAAATGTTAACTAAATGAAAGTTTAATTAATAAACCTTGATGTAGATTTTCAGGAAGACATCACCATTTGGAAGCACAAAAGCCACTAGATAATGACAAGAAGTTTAATTCAGAGACAGAAATCTTAAATGTGTAGTAGATGTAATAAAATATTGTCAAATATGACAGAGAAAAAAAGGATGGAACAAAGAAAGCGCTATTGATAAATCCAGACTGCAGTGGGGATCTTTCTCAACATACTCCATGTTCAAGATCAATCAAGCCAAACCAGCAAGGACAAAGTGAAGGTTATTTATTTACATAAATTCACACTCAAATTTATTAGGAGGAATCAAACAAAGAGCCACATCTCATTGGCCAAGAGACACTTGAGGAAAACAGGGCCCATACAGAGAAAAGGATATGAAAAATCAGGTTTGCAGCCCCAATTCAAGCCTCACCGATGTCATACATTGGCCGAGTTCTGACCCTGCTCCTCTGCTCAGTAAAATGCTCCTCTAGCCGCCGTTGGCCTGGACTTGAACCTCAGCCCTCACAAGCAGCCACAACTGGGGCCCTGTGTCATTACCATTCCGGTCACCACCCATTCAAAACTCTTCAACAGATACTCACAGACCTACAACCAGAATGTGAAACGGATGGTGGATCTTACGTTTCTACTCCTCTTCTCTCTATAGCATTTATGAGGAGAGACTGCATGGCTTTTACTTGTGTATATGACAGCAAGTTCTCTACTCAAATAGTAGTTTCTTCCACTAGCGAACTGCTCCAATGGTGGGGAGATGGCGTTTGTTTAATGTTGCACCCAAACAAGCCTCTCCAGAACTACTTCTACCCATCGGCTCTAACCTGCTGATTCCAAACCATCTTAAGGAAAAAAGAGGTAGAGGGAGAAATAGAGAAGACAGAACAAGAGAGGGAAAAAAAGACGATACGACTCGACCTTAGATTCAGCAGTAGTGCTGCCATATTTCAGCCCTTCAAATTAGACAATTACCTAACTGCAGCCCTGAGTCAATGATGAAGTAAAGCAATGGGCAAAGAAGAAATACTGATCTATCCAACACAGGAACATACAGGCTGTATACGGCAGGGTCAGGGGATACAATATCTTTGAGCAAAACTGTCTTTGATTCATCTCCCAAATGTTACTCTTGGCTGCCATCTGCCTCCATTCCTCACTTGGTCTGGTGCTGGTGCCGCTCCAGCCCAGACAGAAAAGAGGAGACACAGGGAAACTAGATGGATGGAGGGAAAAAGTGGGTTTATAGGTAAAAGTGATATTTCAGTTTACATCCCCAAATACAGAACTCTTCCCTCAAGCTTCTGGGGATGTGTTCAAGAGCACCAAAATATATTTTTAGGCCTTTTCTGCTAAATCTGACACAAGACATACATGCCAAACTCTAAGTGTGGGCAAATGAGGACAATATCTGGAGCAGGTACCTTAACACTGCCAAGTGTGCAGACTTACTGATTCTTAACGCTCTCTGCCTGGATGCCTCTTTCCCACCTACTCACTCCTCAAAGTGAAGTAAAAAGGTAAAAAGTCCTAACAGACCATCTTTGGAGAATTTCTCGAGCCCTTCTTGCCCTTGGGGACCCACAGTCCACACCTGTTTGCAGGGTGGGGGCTGCCAAATTCTTCTAATTAAGGTAGTGTGAAGTACGCCAGGCAGTCCCCTGGGGTCTTTTCAAGAAGTGAAACCTCCTGGTGAGGCAGAAACTTTTTTGTATATCATTTGGCTCTGGTAAGTGTGTATTAAACCAAAGTAATTGGGGCAAAGCCCAAGGTCGCAGAAGCCACCGATTTCCTGTCACCTGGTATCTATCAGCTATCCCAGGCCTGGCCCATCTCACTCACCCTGAGTACTGGAGAGCCCAGCCGTGGAACCGAAGTCAGCAGCAGGCATCCGCATCAGGCGCTGAGCCCTAAGGCCTTGGAGACTCAGGTAAGGATCAGTCCACTTTGTTTAAATGATTAAAAGTGGGGAAAGGATGAGGCACAGGGTGATTCTGAAGATAAGATTCTCAGCTTTAATTCTAGAGGTTCCCTGGTCAGGTTTCCATAGTGCCACGATTTGAGGAGGGGAGACACCAAGGCTTGCTGCCCACCCACTCCCATAACCACTCTCTGAAGAATGACCCTGGCCCATCACCTGGGAGGCATTCAACCTAAGTGGTAGGCTGCAGCATGCAGATCAAAGCATAGGTATAACCTGCTGGGCTCAGACCTGAGCTCTTCTACTAACCACCCACCCATACAACTTCAGAAGGTCACCAAGACCCTATGTTCCCCAGTTTCCTCGCTTATAAGATGGGAGCAACAGTGACACCCACCGGGTTATGAAGATTAAGTGAGCTAAAACCCTGAAGCTCTTAGAACTGCCTGGCACCAAATAATAATCAGGCACGGCTATAATGAAACTAACTCCATTCCTCCTGCTTTAAATGCTTTTGTCTCCAAAGATGTCCAACTAAATGTGAGTATCCCTAGAGGTTAAGCCCAACATTTTCTGGAGGGGATCAGTGAATACCAAACTGAGCCACTGAACCCTGCCTCAAATCCATCCCAGAAGCCCAGAGTGAGAACGGGCGCTGGGGACAAGAGGAAGAGCTAATGAAGGGTGACAAGGATGGACTGTAACCATTGCCACTTCCTGAAACCAGTATATAATGTGATCCCCTTTCCTTATTCCCCACAAAAATGCTTGATCTCACGGATGGTCAGGTAGGCTGAAATTATCACCTTTTGGTTTGACATCCTGAGAATCTGTAAACCTTCCCAGAGGAAGTAGTTCAGTTTGACATTTACCGAGCTCATAGTATGTAGACAACTGGTTACGTATGTGACCCTACTAGGACATTCCTTTAAGTAATTTATGCCGCCTTAGAGGAGTTACAATATATAACACAAGAAAGAAAGCAGCTGGTGACAAGTAAGGAATGCAAGAGCTGTGGCTTTGAACAAGTCCTTGCCAGGCACAGCCGCAAGCGCGGTGAACGTCTGATAGGGAGTTTGCAAGCCAAGGAAGGGAGGGAGAGCATTTCAAAGTTGAGAGAGTTCAGAGAAGGCCAGACACACGTCCAGGCCAGGGGCTCCAGGGGGAAGAGTGGACACAAGCTTCGGATGTTATGCCGAGCTGCACTGTGGAGTTTGGGGCCAAGTGAATGGTTCCTCCAGAAGGCGACGAAAGATCAGACAAGAGTTCAAGCTCAGAATGAGCATGACTCCAGCAGTGATTTAGGGAGTCTGATCTAGTAACCTAGGGGAGGATGGATTAGCAAAGAGAAAGACTGAAGGCAGAAGGGCAATATTTTTGTGCTTAAACCACTAGAGGAAATGAGAATCAAACTCATGGGGTGACGCTGGAAATAGAAAACTGGTTCACATGCAAGATGAGGTACTTTACAGAGGTACAAAAGCATGCAAACATGGAAGACTATGGAGCTGGAGAGAGATGGCTCCAACTTTTTAAGCCTAGGTGCGAGAGAAACAGAAATAAAGCGATCAAAGGGATGATGCCTGAGAAGAGACAGTGGACTTGGCAGCACAGTCGTTGAAAGAAAGTGGTTCCAGCTGAGTGGCTCTGGCAGAAACTGGTTGTGCAGAACGAAGGAGGGAGTGGTGGTGAGGAAGAGAGTGGACCCACAAGGCTTGAAGAAGCTGGGGTAAATGGGAGGGGAGTCTGGGCAGTAGCTGCAGACGCTGCCAGTGTGAAGACGGGGGCCTTGGATTGGGGGACCCTGCAGCACATTAATCACAAAAAAAGGTCCAAGAGTAACAGTTACTCTTTGAGTATTTAGTACTTTATAAATTGCAAATTACCTCATATTCTGAAAATAACACTTTGAATAAAGAGATCGCAAAAGTAGCAAGCAACAGAGCTGGGCCTGCTCCGCACCACCACAGGGTGAGGGACTGAAAATGCAGGACGGGCTTCTCTGAAGGATTCACATCTTGGTAGAAGGAGATGGGCTGAAGAGTACAGACAAAGGGAAAGGAAATTAAGAACATTCTCCCTCAGAGATAAGTGCACGGGAGGCCAGAAAGGATAAAAATGCAAAACTGTTTTGAGTGGCAAAGGAGGAAGTTGAGGTGACAAAAGTTAGGCAGCATTGAACTTCTCAGTAAATGTAATTATTGGACCTAGAAGTCATTATTCAAACCAAAACCCATAAAGGCTGAGAGATCTTCAGTGAATGGACATGGACACAGTGGTGCCTTTCAAAAAAATTAAAAAGATTTGCAGAAGTTGCTGTAATAAAATGGGGGCAGTCTAAGCGGATTTTAACATAGTTTAGTGAAAGTAAAATTCTATGGTTAGCACACTTGGACCAGTGCAGTCAGTAACCTCTGCTAATGTACCAGCTAGTCTCTGAGCCTGACTGTGTGTTGGGCACTGTTCAAGTCATTGTGAACAATTAAAAATAAAATGGTGGGGCAAAACTGCAGGAATCTACATCATCATTAGGAGTAGGTGATCCAGTTATTTATATTCCCATATGATGAAATTTTTCATTTTTCAGTCTACAATGCCTTGAAATAAAAAAACATATTTTAGAGAGATTATTTCCATAAAAAATGAAGTAGAATTTAGAAGCAGGTATGCTTATATTTATAAACTACTGTTTTACAGTAGTATGTGTCAAAGGCTTTGTAGAAATACAGTTGCCATAGTGAGGCATCATTGTAAGAGAAATAAAATATGTCCCCCAGTGGCCTGACTGCCATTAGCCATTGCAGGCATAGCCGGAGCAGAACTTGCTTACATCAAAGCCTTCCCTCACCAGTGATATACACACAGCCTGAGGCAGCTGAAAAATAAGGAGAAATTAAAGCAACAGTAGTCCAGTCTTCTCTTTTTGTCCAGATAACTGATGACCTTTGCTCTTTACATTGTCCTCACTAAAATGAGCCCTCTTGAGAGGCATGTGGTGACTTCCAGCTCATTCCATTCTTACCTTGGGGAAAATCAACTAGCTTCTCTGAGCCTCCATTCACACATCTGCAAAAGGTCAAAATGCCTACTTAGTAAGGTGTTGCGAGAGTTGCAAATAGATACACAATATCCCTGGCACATTGTAGGTGCTTGGTAAACAACTAAGTAACTGCGGTCTAGCTGTGGTGCAGCAGGACGGTCACCAGCCTCAGAGCCATGGTGACTGCCTTCTGGTTTGACTGTCACTAAGTGCAAGGTCTTTAATGAGGCATGCCCCATCCCTCGGCTGCAGTTTCCTCTTCTGTCCAATGAACAGAGTGGTTTCTTGGAGGTTCTGACTAGCTCTAAAAATCCTACCAGAATGAGTCTGCAAATTCCTTAGTGGGCCCTCATAATATATTCCTTTTTGTTGGTGGTTTTGTGGGGTGCTTTGTGGTGCAAAGCAGATCCCCAAGACTACATGACATATGATAACCCAGAGCTGGGTCAAAATCAAGTGTGAAGCACCGAATCAAAGCCTCCTCTCTTCCTCCAGCCTATGGCCCAGACAGATATTTTGTTCTCCATTGATGTATAGTCATCCAAATAGCACATCTATTTGAAGGAGAAGGGAGAGGTTCATAGTAAAAGGCTGATTCCTATTCCCGCCAGGGGGCAAAGCACTTGCTACTATAGACACCTTCTTGGGTAGGTCCAAGCCCTCATTGTAAACTTTTAATAGTCATGTAACTTTGAACAAGTTTTGTAATTTTTTTCTGCACCCTTGTTACCTTTTCTACAAATTGGGGGCAATGACTCACCCCTTTGCTAGTCTGTGGGGAGATGCCAGATGTGAAACCTCTTTGTAACTACCAAGTGGGTACAAATGTGCAGCCTGGACGGCTCCCAAGCACCTGTGCCGCGGCATCCCTGCCATTGGCCAGCGCTGTGACTGGAGTAGGATAAGCGAACTGGACAGACAGTCTTGGTCTCCAAAGCCCCTTTCATGACTTAAAAGCAATAAAGACAAGACCAAAGATGGGACCCCAAAGAGAGATTTCCAGGACCGGCCCCAGGGAAGACCCCCCAGAACCCATGTAAGTGACAGACATAAACAAATGAAGACCACAAGGAGGCTCCAGATGAAGAAGGCTCAAGTCTTAAAATGTGAGAGCTGGAAAGGGACTTGGTAATAATCCAACTTCAGAAACAAATAACCAGGGATTCTAAGAACAAACAGCATCTGCTACTTTGTCCCTATGTACTACGCACTTCCACATTAACTTATTTCTTACAAACATGTCTGGGAGCAGGGTATTCTCATTTTTCAGATGGAAAAAAACAGAAACTAAGGCTCCTACAGGTAATAATACTGAGAACAAGAATAGCAACAAAAACAGGTAATTAATTTTTCAGACATGGGTGCTTTACATTCATTTATCTCTTCAATAAAATTTACTAAGAAGCTATTGAACTGAGACATATTTCACATACTGAACAAAAAGAACAAGGTCTCTGCTTTGCTGGAATTTATGTTCTAGTGGGGACAGACCAACAATATACAAAAGTAACTAAGGTAATTCTCCACAGTAACGAAGTGCCATGAAGCAAATAAAAAGGGGTGCTGAAAGAGAGGGTACACGGATTGAGCATTCAGGGAAGGCTTCCCAGGAGCTGACATTTGAGCAATACCTGATGAAAAGACACCAACCATGTACCAGCCCACTAAGTCTTCTGGCAACACCATGAGACCAGAATTATTACCACTTTACAGCTGAAGAATGTGAAGCCCAGCTAATGTAAAGATCTGGCCCAGCATTTCACAGCAAACAGAATAACCATGATTTAATCTGAGACAATCTGCCTCTAGAGGCCACTCCAATGTACACCTTCAGAGAGGTCGCAGAGTTAGTGGTACAGGGAAGACCAGAATCAGCTGATTTCCAAGGGCAGGCCTCACCACACGCTTGCACGCAGCCTCTGGCCCATCACAATGGACAAGAGCACAGAAGCAAAGGACAAGGACAAATCAATACAAAATATATTTTCCAATATTAAAGCATCAGAAAAGCATCCAGGATGAGAGACAAACAGGAAATGCAGATACAGGAGCATGGTGTTCCCTACAAGGTAGAGGATGCCCCAAATGGGGTTGTCAAGAACACTGGCAGGGCTCCCGGGGCCCATCTGTCCTTGCCTGAGATGCCCCCTCCCGATTCTGTCCTAGACCCTGGCAGGAGGCCCTGCCTCAGCTCCAAAACCACTGGGGAGAGGCCATTTCTACTCTCAATGACACCTACAGACAGGATACAAAGAAAAGTATTCAGATGCAACTAGCTAAGATTGCCCAAAATCCCGGTCTCTCTCTCCTCATTTTATTATTTGTTTTATTCTTAGGAGTTTTGAAGGTAAAATGACAACACCCAGAAATTCGATGACTGGAGCTTTCCCAGCAGATTCTGTGAAAGGCGCTGCTGCCTTGCATCCTGCCCAAAGAGTGATTCCCAGGAAGACGTCTTCAGTGGTGGGCCCCACACAAAGCTTCTTCATGAGGGAGTCTAAGGCTTTAGGGGTAAGTCAGATGCCCTCTATTCCATACCCCAGGACAGTCTAGCCTACAGGAGCAGATGTTAGCAGCCCACAGTGGGCCAAGTCTGGATGTACAGAGAAGTCACATGGTGACCTTATGTGGCCTGCATCTTTAGGGGTCTCCCATCCCAGTTCACCATCAGCATCCCAGGCATATCTGCCTTGGAAATGCCCCAGTGGTAGGCTAAATGGATCTCAATAACACAAAGGTCTTGGCACCTCACCACTTCCTTTGGGCATTTTACACAGCCTCAAGTCAGGAGCCGGGGCTTCCAGCCTTACCTTTGCTGACTCAATAATTTTCATATCACCCACTTGCACCCCAATCTCTCCCCAGGCTGTGCAGATTATGAATGGGCTCTTCCACATCGCCCTAGGCAGCCTCCTGATGATCCACATGCAGGTCCACACACCCATTTGTGTAACTGTGTGGTACCCTCTCTGGGGAGGCATTACGGTAAGTAAAAACTAATAACCTCTTGGGAACTGATAAAGACAAAAATGTTAAAAAGCTCCACAGCAATATACCAGATTACTTCTGTGTTGAGGGAAGTGTATGAGTAGGAAGTAGGTTGTCAAGTTAAAGTAATTCAGTTCAAAGAGAGGTTGACTAAACCGAGCGTGAATCCCAGGGTCAGGAGTCAGTAGTCATGCTTCATGTGAATTCAGAGAAAAATGCCCTACATGGATCCATAATGGGAATAAAGACTGTTCAAAGCAGTACTTCTCCAAATCAATAGTGGTGTTGGAGGGGAGGGGTAAACACTTGGACTGTACACTGCTGGTGTTCAGAAAGCAAGAAGGAGGAACGCATCCCACTTGCTCCCACCCGGTCCTTCCTCCCTACAATTCCATTTAGTTACTATTGCACACGGTAAAATTAATCCCATCCCAAAAAAATCTCCTTTGGTTTACCAGCAGAGGAGTATTCATGGCTGTTTGGTGTATGTTTTCCAAGCTTGTAACCCTGTCTGGATATGGTACAGGGCAGTGATTTTGACATCACCATTTCACTTTCGTAATTGCTACTACGAAGAGGAGTCCAAGATTAAAATTTTCACAACAAGGAGAGATGGATTAAAACAAGGGTGTCCTCCACGTTATAACCTAAATAGCAAAAAAGGAAAATGACAAATAATCACTGTCACTTCCTGGAGTAGCCAACATTTTAACGGAGTGCCTGTGACATTCAGGCCAAGTATTTCCTTTTACATCAATTCATTTTCATTGGCATCAAGGTCATTTAAATCACTGTGAACTCCAAAAAGCAGTTCCACAAATTAAAACAAAACAAGAAAGGAAGGATGGAAGGAAGGAAGGAAGGAAGGAAGACCAAAAATAAAACTTTTCAATTCACCGTGTATTAACTGACATGGAAATGTGAGTTCTGCTTTTCTGGCTTATTATCTTCCTACTCACAACTCTCCCATTGGTTGAATAAAAGGCAGAGATTGAATGTAGTTGGGCCTGAGTAGAGGAGAAATACAGGTGCTGAAAGTTGAACAAATCAAATAAAAATGGCTGGATGGCTTAGTGAAAGCGGTTAGAAGTGTGGGTAGTTTTTTTGCAACCAGTTCTCAATGTTAAAAGTGATCTTTCTCACTCTCTGCTCTTCTCCCTTCTCTCTCACACCCTTCCCCTTCCACAACCTCTCTTTTCACAGTTTATCATTTCTGGATCACTCCTGGCAGCAGTGGAGAAAAACTCCAGGAAGAGTTTGGCAAGTAATCATATGTCCTTCTTCCCCACACATCAGAGAAATATCTTTCTCAGATGAAAACAAGAACCCTTGAGGACCTTTGGAATCACAGCAGCATTGAATGCTCTTATCCCTGAAAAGCAGAAGACTCTCTACAATGCTGTTGTGATTTTATTCATAAAAGCCTAGCAGTGAGATATACCTGAAATATTTCTATGGCAACACATTGAAGGCAGATGGATGAGAACGCTTACAGTCTTATGGATGTCAATGCTGTGTTAGACTAATGACCTCTTTGAAAGCCATGTCATTTCTCTCAGATCACCATCTAAGAAAACTGACTAATCAATGTTGTGATTGACTTGAGTCCTAGTTAACCTTGAGCTGTAACCTTGAACAAGTCAGTTAACTTCTACGTACCTCTGAGTTTTCACCTATGAAATGAAGACAACAGTCCTTGCTACCCTATGAAATTGTCATGAGGAGGAAAAGGAAAAACACATGAAAGTGCTTCCGAGGCTATAAAGAATTAAAGTGGTCTTGTTCCCATAACCCCTAGGGATACATTCACACTCAGGAAGAGTGCCCCATTCTGTATGGGTCAAGAGCTCACCAGCAAGTTTCCTCCAACTTTTTATGTTTACTAAGCTATTAGTAATTTGAGTCACGTCCAAAGTCAGTGAGGAACTGAGTGGATTGAAATGGCTCCTCTCTACAGGGAGTCTGACAAACTCAGTTCTTGGGGGGAAAAAACTGTTTAGGAATATCAAGTTGTTTGACTCTCCAAATACAGCCAGTCCTCACCTGCCACCTGTAGGTCAGATAGCCAGAGATGAAATATATGCATCTTAAAATAACTGTCAATAATCCCATACCATTACGGCACTTATCACATGTTTTCCTGTTGCAACCTTTTACCATCCCTGCAAGGCAGAACTCCCACACTGATATCCCCCTCGTAAGCTACCCAGAGGCCTCGTCCTCGTGGTGTTCTGCACATCGACAGGGAGTAGGTGCTGCTGCTCTTCGCGGCTGTTTGTTTCCGCGTGATAGAACAGACCGAGAGGGTTCCAGCTGCTCTTTCCCTACCTGTGCCCACAACGCCATCCTGCTTCACTGTGACGGAAGAACGCCCTTCTCTCTCTCCCCTCTATCTCCTTCTGCAGACGGGCAGAATCTGAATACTATCAATCTTCATTTACTCAACAAATACTTACTGAATGCCTCCTAGGAAGTTGGTGGTGGCAGTGGAAGGAAGAGCAAGGGTGCAAGACACAAGAATTAAGGATCATTCCTAGGATTTTTTCATGATAAATTGGTTGGATGGTTATGGCAAATAAGATGGGAAGACTGAGAAGGAAGTAGTTTATCAGAGGAAGAGGAAGGTGTTGATTTTATAATGGCAAAGAAACTACAAACAACTGAGAGGAACATGACTGTGTGACTCAGCTGTTATACATTTGTGAGTCAGACGAATAGGATCTGGAATTCCTTGCTGGCTTATGTCCTCCAGGAGGAAACCAAACTAACTAATGAATCTTTGTGCTCTCTTTTTCAGGTCAAAGGGAAAATGATAATAAACTCATTGAGCCTCTTTGCTGCCATTTCTGGAATAATATTTTTGATCATGGACATATTTAATATTACAATTACTCATTTTTTTAAAATGGAGAATCTGCACCTTATTAAGGCTCCCATGCCATATATTGACATACACAACTGCGAGCCAACTAACCCCTCTGAGAAAAACTCTCTAGCTGTACAATATTGTGACAGCATACAATCTGTGTTCTTGGTAAGTGTGAAACGGGATTTCTTTTCTGGGAGAAAGTATGGCATTTTTATTATGAACATCAATTCTGGATCCAGACTGTTTGCATCTGCTATTTATTGTCTGTATGGCTTTGGCCAAGAATTCTAACCACATTCTTCCTCAATGTCTTCAATGGGAAAGATATCAGTACTTATCTTGTAGAGCTATTTTGAGGGATGAGTCAATATATTCAAAGCACTTAGAAGAGTGTCTGGTACACAGAAAGTGCTATAAAAGTGTTTACTTTAATATTAATTATTAATATTATTATTAGTGGTACTATTATTACTAAGATGAACACTGAAGAAGTACCTCAGTTATTATGACACCTTTTATTCCAGTGAGATTTTAGTGTACAGTGTGAAGGGAAAAAGCGCATCTCCCTAAGTATGGAGAGGTTTCCTTGGCTGTGATACCACACCACCTAAAGCTGGATTATTTTTTCCCACATAGAATTGATTCTTCAGCTAACTGTATATAACTGCCTTGTTTTCTAGCAGCAACATGTATTAATCATCTGTTGTATGCCAGGAGTTATGCTAAAGGTGAGAGTTATAAAGATATCAGTAGTTCTTACAGCTAGTCATTAACTCACCTAAAAAATCGATCTTTTCATCATTTACTTTTAGTCAACAGTCTTTTCCTGAGCACCAACCATATTCATTAAACCATTATTACATTTTCACCCCATTTTTCTGTTGTTCTTCAGGGCATTTTTGCAGTGATGCTGATATTTACCTTCTTCCAGGAACTTGTCACAGCTGGCATTGCTGAGAATGAATGGAAAAAACTGTGCTCCAGACCCAAAGCTGTAAGTAACTGCCGCTCTGCCCCCATCCTCCTCTAGAGGAATCACCTCTACAAAAGATCATTTATGGAGACTTAACCTATGAGACTTTGAAACTGGGAGCTTTGTGAAAAAGGGTCTTAGAATATTTCTGGAAAACAAAAAATACCTTGTGTCTTGAAATTTGAAATAAGTCTAAAGGTTAGATGGAGGATACAGTTTTGCAATATGTGCACCCTCTCACTAACCTGGAGTTCTGCTTGATTTCAGCCATCCACCTTGACTTCACTATTCCACACTTGATGTGTAAACGTAGGAAGCCTGAAGGTAGAAGGCTGATTAAAGCCACCAGTTCTCCCCTCTTCCCCCAACCAACACACCTGTTTCACCTAATCCCTCTTCCAAAAAACATAGGTTTGAAGAGACTCAACTGGGAGACAAGAATATCCCAGTGATCGAGCTATTATCAACTGCTTCACAGCCACAGAATTTAGATTTAAAATTGAATTTAGAAAGTATGACTAATACCTTCATTTTGCAGATGAGGAAAATAGAACTAGAGAGAAAATGATTTTCCAAGGTTATACCCAATAAAGGCAAATCAAAACTGGAATCTGAATTCCTCTACTATTGCAGTTTTCTTTCCCCAAATACCGTGTGATCATTTCCAGGCAAAGGGGCAAATATCTCAAAGTTTTGATAAGTGATTTGGTAAGAATTTGATGACTTGGGAAATCAACCCCAGTATCTGGGACACATAGGAAATAATACGAGTATCATAAAAACTAGGAGGTCTTTGATAACTATTCATAGAGATTGTTGAGAAATGTGCCAATGGTAAAGATCAAGGACAGTTTGTTTAATTTTGTGTTCTAGAATGTAGTTCTCCTGTCAGCTGAAGAAAAAAAGGAACAGTCCATTGAAATAAAAGAAGAAGTGGTTGAGCTGACTGAAATATCTTCCCACCCAAAGAATGAAGAGGACATTGAAATAATCCCAGTCCAAGAAGAAGAAGAAACAGAAATAAACTTTCCTGAACCTCCCCAAGATCAGGAATCTTCACCAACAGAAAATGATAGCATCCCTTAAACTTTTTTTTCTGTTTTCTGTTTCCTTTTTTTAAGCATTATTGTCCATAGTTTCCAAGAGACATATTCACCCCCATTTCTTGAGGCACTCCATACATATCCTCCCAATCTCTCTCTGTCTCTCCATGGAGTGACCGCAGCCCCCAGACTCCCTCATTCAGAGAACACAGCCATTGTAGCAGACTGTGTCATCATGATTCTTGTTTGGAAAGCTTTCTTTCATTCAAAAAGGCAGACTAAGTATTGCAGAATGTGATTTCCCACTAGCCTTTTCCTTGGATAAGATGTAGTAGTAATAGCAGTAGTCATCATTTTTCTCATTTCTTCTCTCCCCAACAGGAAGATGCTGTACCTGATGAAAAAGATAAATGACTGCTCCATGCCTTCCCTAAACCACCTTTAATTTCCTCCACACCTCCATTTCTGGTGGAGTCCCTTTTGTGCCATTGTTTTAAAGAAAGTAAAAAATAGTACCAAGATGCAAAAAGGAACCTATTCCATCTATCTTTCTAAGAGACTGACGCTGGGGCACTTTCTCAGAGCCCCCTTACCCCCCCGCCACCGCCATTCCACTATGGAAACTCTAACTGGCCAACATTCAGCCCTTTCTTTGTACAAACAGCACAGCTTATACCTGGACACGCCTCTATCTGTCTTAACTTTCCGTAAGACCTGCCCTAGACTCTTGGTTTCACTGTCTACCTACTTTCAGCCTTTAGACAGGAAAGGAAAGAAAGAAAAATGTTATAAAATGAGTACCCAATCTCAAATGATAATCAACACTTGGCATTTGTAGATTATTTTCAATTCAAATATATTTTACTAAATAATTGCACTTGATCTTCTAATGATCAAGAGAAAGATCCTATTTCATGGATGATCTAAAGAGGCTAAGCAACTTGTAAATAAGTACAGGTGATTTGTCAATGGTTACAGCAAGTAATTTTGAGAGCCTTGTTTCATATCTGGATCTTCTTACCCAAATCCTGTCGTGTTTGAAATAACCAAATTGCCTATCTAATGCCTGTTTACTACAAAGCAAAGCCACCAGGTTTTAACAAGTACCTACTCTCTGACCAGCATGAAACAGGTTGAGAAAGACACACAGGAGAGTCAGATATCAGGTTTTACTGCTTGGGAATAAAAAGACTTAGGCATTCACAACATTTGGAAAACTACTGACATCATTAATATATAATTAGGTGTTAGATTACATAATGCAGACACTAAGTGCTATTGATGTTCCAGAAAATAACATAATTAGTTACAATGTCAAATCTCAGGCAACAGCTACCCTACTTCTCAATTCCTGTTCACATTCAGATATACCAGCATCCTATGCAGAAAGAATGTCCACTTAGAAAGATGTCACTACAATCTATCAATTACATTTGAGCATTTTCTATATGTTGCATGCTCCCAGATTCTGGCAGGTATATAGACTATGTAACTTCCACTTTCTGTGATATTTCCACCTTGTAAGGAACCACCAATGGAACATATTCCCTGTAATTAGAAAAAAAGCAGGTAGGACATTTCTCAGTCTTTGTAAAGCCCTCAAAATCAGCTTTAAATGAATAAAACTGTATTTGTATTCTTGTCTGCAACAGATGATTCCAACATGGTGTTTTCCCAGACTTCCCTTTTATAACATCAGACCATGCAAGGCTCCTACAGCCTTACGCTCATATTCACATGACCCCAGTCTGGGTTTGAATTGTGAGGTGTAAGGACGTTGACTATTCATATCAGTGTATCCTCACACGCACATTCCCAAGGATGTTCACGGAATAGGTCATTAGTAACGTATTCCTCACACTCAATCTTCAGAACGTGACTGAAATATATGGCAGGCACTCCTGCCTTGAAACAGAGGAAAGGGAAGAGGACATGACAATGGAAGACTCGCGGAAAAAAATTAATGAGAAAACCTTCAAAACAGATCTCACGTCTATCTTATTTTCTCCACTTTTGAAGTATATGAGGATCCCTTTCCAAACCTTTGGTCTCCTTAAGAATTTAATTTTTATTCATTTTTATGATCTCGAATAATTACTTTCACTGACATCACATAACTCCTTATAATATAAGACACCCTTAATGTCTACTGTTAAAGAATGAACATCCTTGCCATGACTTTCTCCCCAATTATGCTTTTGGTGATTTATTCATAATAGGGTGACTGACCATCCCAGTTTGTCTGGGACTGAGAGATTTCCTGAGATTCAGGACTTTCAATGCGAAAACCCAACCAAATAAGCCAGAGGCAAACTAGGATTATTAATCACCCTAGTTCATAACTGTCACTGTTAATATGTTTCTTATACTTAACATTATGTCACAAATGTTTTTCCTTATTGATCTATAATTCTCATAAGAATTATTTTTATTACAACTAGCACTTCATTGAATCCATATAGAATAATTCAACAGCCCTCTATAATTGGGTACTTAGGGTATTTCCAATTCCTTTCTTTTTCTTTTGCAAATTGCTTTTAGAGCTGCAGAAATCATGAGCAAGATACACATTTCCTCTTCTCATTATTCAAAATGTGGCCTCATGCTTCAAGCATTGTCAAATTCTGTCAGCAGGAAATAATGGCACTTATTAAAAACCAGGAATTAATTTTTATTACACTTCAATAAGAGAATAATCAAACCCAATATACAGAAATGGTAGATTCAGATTAACTTAGTATCAGTTCATTTATAGATTTAATTTGTTTTAAATTCTAGGTATATAACCAAAAACACTGATGGGGAGGGTTCAACTCAGAAATTTTCCTAAGTTAAACCTGCAATCCTTAAAGGGGTTTCCTTTCATTCAAAATCTGGTTACGTGTTCTGAGCTAAAGACCAAGAAATATAAAGAGAATATTAAAATCACATGGTGGCAAATCACAGCTAACTTATGGCTATCCTATGGAGTCATGTTTGCCCGCCATTACCTCTTCCCTTGGTGACTTGCTGTAAGAAAATTACTGTTACCTAGTATGCATTCAGGAACAAACTTCCTGAAGTAAGACCCAAACCAATCATCAGGAATTCATCAATTCACTCGTCCAAAAATATTTCTTGATCCCAGCCTCTGGAAAGCAAAACTGAGCAGAGTTGTCTCCTCCTGGAGCTCACTATCTGGTTGGACAGACAGACTTTGGAGAATGCCCATCAGGCACCTCCTGTGCATGAGGCGTGCTGATGAGTACCCAGATAAGGGAAGCCCCTGCACTCAAAAACCTTAGTGCCTAACTGGAGATGATAAAAGAAACATACAACATATTAAAAAATAACCTGTAGGGTTCAAGAAAATTCAATGGGAAAAGAATAATCTTTTTAACAAATTATTACGGGGAAACTACGCAGCCACATGCAAAAGGGTGAAATTGGCACTTACCCCACACTATACACAAAAATTAACTCAAAATGGATAAAGGCCTAAATATAAGGGCTAAAACTACAAAATTCTTTGAAGGGAACACTAGATGTAAACTTTGTGACCTTGGATAAGGCAATGGTTTCTTAGGAATGATGCGAAAAGCACAAAGAAAAATAAAATTGGACATGATCAAAATTAATAACTTGTGCTTCACAGGGCACTATTAAGAAAGTGGAAATATAAGCCACAGACGGGGAGAAAGTATTTACAAATCACATATCTGATAAGGTCCAGTACCCAGAATGTATAAAGAAGCTTACGACTCAACAATAAAAAGACAAATAACCCCACTTAAAAACTGGCAAAGGACCTGAATATGTATTTCTCCAAAGAAAATATACAAAATATCAATAAGCACAAGATAAGAAGCTCAAAGGCATTAGTCACTAGGGAAATGCAAATCAAAACCACAATGAGCTACAACATCACACCCATGGGTGTGACAACAATCAAAAAGAAAGGAACTAGCGCTGGTGAGGACTCGGGAGAAATTGGAAGTCTCATACATTACCAGTGGGCATGTAAAATGGTGTAACTGCTTTAAAAATTGTTTGGCAGTTCCTCAAAAGCTAAACATAAAGTTACTGTAAAACCAATATACACCCAAGAGAACTGAAAAAAAATGATCACACAGAAACTTGTACACAAATGTTCACAGGAGCATTATTCGTAATAACCAGAGTGGAAACAACCCAAATGTTTACCAACTGATGAACAGATTAAGAAAACTTGCTATATCTATTAAGAAAATTTGGTTCATCCATCAAAAGGAATGAGATACTGGTACATGAACAAGATGGCTGAACCATGAAAACACCATGTTCAGTACAAGAAGCCATATATTGTGTGATTTCATGATTCCATGAAATGTCCATGATAGGCAAATCCATAGAAACAGAAAGTAGATGAGTGGCCACAGGCTAGGGGATGTAACCTCTGGGGAATGGAGAGTGACCACTAATTAATTCAAGTTTCCTTTGAGGGTGGTGAAAATATTCTGGAATTGTATAGTGGTGATGGCTGCACAACTTCATGAATATATTACTATTTAAAAAAATGTTAAAAGGGTGGGTTTACGTATGTGAATTATATTGCAATAAATATAGTTTAAAAAGAGATAACCAATAATATAAGACAGTCACAAAGGACTAAACTACAGTAAAATGCCCAGTAATTGCTCAATTATATTACAGGATAGGAGAGAACTCAATGAAGGCTAGAATATCACAAGAAAATCTTATGGAATAGGAGAGATTTGAGTTGAATCTTAGAGAATAGGTTAAAAAAAAACAGGTAAAGTAAGAGAAAAAGGAAGGAATATTCCAGGTCGGGGGAGCAACACCTATACAGGATGAAAACAGAAACATTCTAGGTACATTCAGAGGAAATAACAGAATACCCTAGATGGACTGTATTTAAATCAGGGTATAATTATATTTACACAAGTAGAGAAAGTTTGGGACTACAGTATGCAGGGTCTTAAATGCCCACAGCTTCTGAACTTTAATCCATAGGCATAAGGGAATCATTGGAGGTGTCAGAGTAGGGAACTAAGAAATTACAATTAATAGTTTAGAAAATAAGTGAGGCAGCAAGAATAAACAAGAAATTAGACTTGAATTAAAGACTAGAAAGAATGAGAGCATACATTTTAGAGATACTTAGACAGGACTTAGTGGATATGAAGGATTTCATTAGAAGGAAAGAATGACAAAGAGGATTAAATCAAAGCTCCCAGCTTTGAGTTAGATGAGGGCAGGAAGGATGTGAGATGGTAATGATGCCAATGGAGACAGACAGGAAGCTGACAAAGGAGAAGCATGGGAATTGGATCATGAGCTCCAACTGGATTGCTTCTATTATTTTACACTGCTGACTGTAGACTCATAATGATATACACTGCACTACCTGAAAATCCAAGTTTGAAAATCAGAGGAGACAACAGGATTGAAAATAGAATTGCATGAAATATTTACCTAAAATTAATAAGATTATGGGAATGAATGAGAAACATGAGGGAAGGTGACACTTTGTAAGGAATGCCCACATTTAGCTGTCAGAGAAAGTGGATGAGTGAAGATGAAATTGAGGACATCTAAGAAAGCAGGGGCGGGACTGAAGAGAGTGTCCTATCTTGGAAGCTAAGGAAGGACAAGTGTCTCAAAGGGCAAGGAGCCAGCAGAGCAATGTTGAAAAATCCCAAAAAATGAGGATTCAGTAGAGACCTTTGGATTCAGCAATGAGATCACTGGCAGCCTTAGGAGAAACATTTTAGAAAAGTATAAAGTAGGTAAGATAGACCGCAATTAACTGAAAAATAATTGTTACATGTGACATGAAATCATTTAAGCTGTGAAAGCAGACTCTGCTTTGGGGATGTTTGGTCATAAAAGGAATGAGAGAGATGATTCAGTGGTTTGAATGAGAAGCAGAGCAAGGGATAACCCAGAAGGGTGGGTGGCCTAAAAGTAGCAGATGGTTAGCCAGTTAACAAATTCAAATACTTATCAAGCACCTACCATGTTCTTGATACCATTCCAAGTGATGAGGATCTAAGCAATGAACAACATGGACAAAATTTCCTGCCTTTGTGGAGTTTGCATCATTCCGATGCATCAATCTACTGTCACTAGTGAGTGAACAAGAGGGTATTGCAAAGTTCGGACACTTCTGTTCACTTAGGTAGGGTTCAGTTGTATCATTTCCAACTTACAGACGTTCTAACAACTAACTGACAATTGAGTATGGCTTTTACAATGTTCTTGATTTTCAAACAAATATTTTCTCAGCTTGGTAGGAACAACCACACAGCTAATATGGTAAAAACAACCTTGTGGCCTGCAATGACAAAGACGAAGGAGTATTATTCAGTGGACCAGGTGAGGTCAAGGAGGAGAAGTCACCAGCCCTAAAATGTCAAAAAGCTTTCATTGCATAAATAACTCTGGCACCATTTTTCACTAGCTTCTGCAGTAAAGGAGCTGCCCAGAGATCTATCCACAACTCTCTGTACTTTTATCTTTATAGGAAATGAAACTTGTTAAAGTTATGCTTGTACATTTTGCAGGAAACAGCTGCAGTGAATGTAAGTTTATGACAGGAACAATCCAAGTCACAAGATGGTAGAAAACTTTATTAAAGCTTATTAAATGAAGAAGACACAT